TTAACGTAACACAGTTCTTGAGCACGGTGCTTAATTGTTGTTCCTGGAATATTTGTTCATGTAAAAGATGTATACCTACTACCACAATTTTTACTCATTCTGAATTTTATCGTCTACGATTTCCAAACGTAAAATTTTTAAACAGGTCCCTGTTTATTTTACACTCTGTAGACTGAAAACTATGCGCAGTCTGCTAAGTATGTTTTATGAAATCCGCTCATTTGAATTTGCTGGTTTCCATATGTTGTAGTTTTACTAACAAACCGTTTCTTTTTGCGGTACGTGTTCTTAGTTCTGATGGTGTCGACTGAGTTCTCCTGTAATTGTGAACTGCCCAAGCTCCCCTGAATACGCCCGGTATGTAGAATAGATATCCTGGCGAACCGCTGGTGTTCGGCCACCGGTTTTTGTTAAATATTTTTTATTATTTTTTTTTTAGTTCGATTCAAGCGCTCAGAGCGGTTGTTGTGTATTTCGGTTCGTTGGAAATAGTTAATAGTTGTTGTGTACAATTGGTTTTGTGAAGTGAACCCCTTTGAAGTCGAGTGCATTCCCTTCTTCCCTTTCCTTTTGCCATCGACTTAAAGAAACATCTATTGCATCACATTTTGGTGAGTTTAGATTAGTTTTTTTTATATATACAGTCCACTTGGAAAGGGCTATTTGGGCCCCACCATCCCCCAAAACTATAATAAGCAATTATTCTCCATGTTCCCTGTGAATGTTAAAAATACCTACCATTATTTTAAATGCGCGTGGCTACATAAATGCATAATGATAATACTATTTTGCGATCATTGATATACTAGATTTTTTTGAAGATTTCTGTTTTTATCTTGGTTTTTTACCGCTTCGATGATATCTAGGCAATTTCAGCAATAAAATTACAAGTTGACGAATAATGTGTGAAGGTATTCGATAAAATACTACATAAACATCCTACCTGTAAGAGTTTAATTGAAAGCCTATTTTCTCGAAAACCGTCTACATTAGGAAGTTCTAACAAGAGTATATTATTTTTAGAAAATAAAATTGTGCATTAGAAATTGCAGCCCGAATGGTAAAAAAAAACAACCTTAAAAAAATTAGAACTTAAAATGTAATAGGAATGTATCATAACTAGCGCCCTCTATGAAATATACAAAAAAAAATAATTATACCAGCATATTTGGCGTCCTCAAAAACCCCGAAATACCAAATTAAATAAAAATATTGCGCACCGTTTAGAAATTTTCGTAAAAATTCTATTTAAAAAATTTTATTTTGTCGCTCTTATTTTTTTCTTTAATTTTTATTTTTGGTCGTACTACGTATTTACCCCTGTATTTACGGGTGGTCTTTCTGAAACACCCTGTATATCCGGGCTTTCCTGAGTGATAACATTAATAAAAACAAAAAAGTGTTTCGCATAAAAGTTGCATCATTTTAAAACCATGTTAAATTATCCACGGTTTGCAGGCTTCTGTTGCAGTTGAACAACCTCTTTATGATAACTAAAATTAACTATTTTTTATAAACATTTTCTCTTCTCCTTAAAAAGTTACAATAACAAACATTGTACAAAAATGTACCTTCTATTGTATCGGAACTAGTCATGACTTAATCAGCATTACTGTGAAAAACAATCGCTGTAACTCTAACATGCTAGTTGCTGTGCTCTTCTTAAAAAAAGGTCGCTCCACGAAAAAAAATAAAACAATACACATGATGACGGTTAAATAGGGTAACCAAATATAGACAATTTTAATTGTAACTAATAAATATAACAATAACTAATAACAAAACACGAAGCAAAATATAAAATTATGATTATTACTTTAAAAAAATTAATCATTATTTGGGCTACATAATTAAGTCTTTTTTCAGCATGTATGTCAGATAAGTGCTCCAAGTTGTTTAGCCTATAGTCAAGGTGACCATTGGAGATCAAAATTCTTTGCGCAGAGTTTCATTTTGAATTCAATGCAAAGGTGGCCTGTCGTATAGAATTTCTAGTATTTTCCTCAAAATATTGTATTGTAGCTACGGTAATGTCACAATACGATACACATTGATTTTGAAATTCATTTCCTTTTTCTCGATGAAAATGCATTTTCGTTAGCACGCAAAGTTCGTTCTAATCTGGCAAATATTTTACCCCGCGGCGATAATTATTGATTTTTGTATATATATACATATATCAAATATCCGCTCGCACAAGTCGTTAGTCACGTGAAGGTCCCACCACGACTTGTGTTAATCCAGTGGGGATTGGGGCAACAAAAGCCCTCGACATTCCCCGAAACCGGCAGTTTCTAGCCAGAATTCACTACCAACCAGAAGTCCACCGCCAGAACTCACTACCGAGTAGAAGTCCACCGCCAGCAAGTAGTCTCCACCGAAGCCAGCCAGGAATAACCAGTAAATCCAGTAAGAAATATTTTCCTTTTATTATGGTCCGTTCCGACCGAGTACAAGTCCGAAAAGATTTGTACGCTTTAATGGAATTACTGTGGGCCCGAGAAGAATATTCTTGGTAACCCGCACACCAATTCCACCGTCCTTCTCAACCCACACGACAGAGCAATCGTTGGATTCGGCGTGTATACCCAATCTTGACGAAGCTTTCGTGTTTACTACAGCGTTGCCCGTTGTCCCGCACCAGGATGTACGCTGAGTAATAGAGGATATGTGAACTTACACCTAGAGGTTCGGCGTGTATACCCAATCTCCGGGTCGTTCAATATACGTACGTTTCTCCCTGATCGGCGTGTATACCCATCAGACCGGGAAGCGTTGTATACTGAGAGTCCGACAACGTCGGTCACCAGGACGTATAAAACTTAGAGGACAGTACGAATTGCAAGGCGAGATACTTCGGATCCCGTTTTACCATCCTATCGCCACCCGATTTTTCCGCTTGGCACCGCCTGGGCTTTCTTCACTGGTTATCGCTACCGCTTACCGCTTGTTAATTTTGCATTGCTTGCTGGACCGTACTACCGTTATCTAACCGTCGACCTGAGAGTAACATTACCGCTATTTAACCACCGACCTGAGTGTAAATTATTCTGAAATAATTCCGTATAATTTTGTTTAGTTTTCAGCAGGGACCGACAAAATATTTACAAATATTTTATTTCTGTATCAGTACCGTCTACAATCACCTTTTTACTTAAAACCGTTGAATATTGCAGAATAACAAACGTTTTATTTTAATTCCGTTCATAAAACCTATATTTCTTTTAAATCTGTTCAAAGGTGATAAGTTAAGTTGTAAAAACCGAAATCTACAATTTTTAGTTTTGTCTCTAACACCGTTATTGTATATAGTTGTTGTTTAGTTAGCTTATAAATATTTCCAGTCATTTCGTAGTAGGTAGAAATTAAGATTGACACGATTTGTATTTGTATAAAGTTTTAATATTTTCCTTGTGAATAAATCCAGTAAAATTAATAGGTGTATTTCTTTCAAAACCGAAGTATACTGATAAGATTCCGAACCAGCAAAAACGCTGATACCGTTTTGTCGAAATACACAAATAATTCCGTTTAATTTTATATTTAAAATAAAACTACACCGAGAAAAGTACTCTCTGCCGTTTTCTCCGAAAAAAAGTACATTTGACCCCTAGAATTTACTTTCATCACTGTAGCTACCTGTGCACTTTACTCTAAACCGTGGGTAAGGGTTGCGTGGAGTTTCCCCCATGTAAAATATAGGGAAACTGGCGCCCGAGACTAAACCAACTATATAAATTATTAACTAATTTTACCGTTTAGAGTCCAGTCCGAGGAATAAAAGACCTTTCCGAAAAATTTAATTACAGGGGGTGCACACACCATAGTTAAAAATAATAAAAAGTAACACCGACCGACCCATAGAGAGAGAACCGAGGAAAAGTGCGTCACAATACTTTCTTGGAATTTATTCAGTTGGTACTAGTGAGTATTTGTAGGAGATTAGGACTCACTTAGTGTAACTAAAACCTCATTTCAAATTTTATGTAATGAACCGGAACTTGCCTCGGATCTAATTTACTGTTGCCGATTCCGATACTCCAATAGTACCCTGACGTCTTCAATATATCAACCAGTGTCAGTAGTATTCAGTATGGAAGATCGTACTCCAGTCCAGCAGACAAAACACCATGAATAAATTCAAGACTGCGTTAGGTAATTCACTCCACATTCTAAACCCCGATTGGGTTCAGGACTTGGATAGTTTAATGCGACCCCTTCCTTGTGTGTAATAAGTCGCACTTAGTCCAATCCAAATTATTTTGTGATATAAAAGTATCAAGGATCCCGAACAAATCCAGAGACTTCGGACAAGCAATAACAATTTTGCAAAAGAGATCTTCTGCAATGTGATTACCACATATGAATCTTGCATAGTTTATCGAATGAGCATCCTTATTTATTCCGTAGCTTCAGCCAGCAGCAACTCAATTGCTTTGATTTTTTCAATTCATTGATGTCCTCTGTCATACGCTGTAGTCTGGGACTGATTGTATTATCGGACAAAGGCATTACTGGAAGAAGTTTCTACAGCAGATATGTTCTTGCGATGATATGACGCTTTTTATATTTCGCGACTCGATAACCCATCTCGTAAGATGCTTGCAAAGCGTTGTTTGGTATTGATGCATTCACGAGAACTCTACTACTTTGTTGCCTCAGTTCTTTCAACTTCCCGGCAAAGAAATCACGAGGTTTGTCTACCATATACTAGTGAATTAATATTTACAAAACTGTGCTTCAGTTTATTTGGCACCATGCACTGTGGTACCAAAACTTTTATACACAGTACATGTGGTTTTATTCACCACAGATTTCTGTTGACGTAAAACCAAACACAAAATAAGTGTTAAGTATCATATTCGTGTTAGTAGTTGAGTGTGTAGTTTCTTTATCTTCACTCTTACAACGTACAATGAAAACTATACACTTTAATATACGCTTTCATTAAAAAAAGTATGCATTCTTAATCCTACAAAACGGCTCTTCTTATTTTTCAGGAGGGCAATGGTTCTCTTCACAAACTCCATCGCCTACGATGCGCTGGCGTTCTTCGTGACGCTGACAGTTGTCGTCTACGCCTACTTTAAATGGAAGTACCAGTACTGGAAGAGGAAAGGTATCCCATATTTCGTGCCCAAAATACCGTTCGGGAACATTCCAAACCCACTGACAAGCCAATTGAGCATAGGAGAGCATATTGCTTTGTTGTACAAAGAAGCCAAGGCGAGAGGTTTGTATACAGACTAGTGTGGATGATACAAAAATATGTTTTACATTCCATTCAAACAATTACTTTAAATTTTAAAATTTTATTAGATTATGCAAGACCTATTATTGTGGTTTTCATGATACTCTTATTATCGTGGCTTATTGTTCACATTGAAGACGGCCTTGTGCATAGCAATGCAGAATTAATGCGCACCGTTTTAATTTGTTTCCTTACTCAAAAAACTTTACAGGGTGTGCCATTTCGCGTGAACATAGCTTTGCAATTTTAAAGGGAACTGTATATTATTGCGTTTTTGAATTCCTTGGTTAATATTAGGTAGAGTTTATTTAAAATACACATCCAACAGGCAATGCCCAATAACAGGATATGTTAATTCTAGTAATAAAATATAAAAAAATTAAAATAATACAAACATACAAATAAAACAAATATGAAGAAAAAAATAAAAAGGCAACAAACTATTATTAAATGTATATGTTGTTTAAAACTTACTGGTTTCGAGATAATCAGTTGTTTTTTAAGAAAATCACGATTTCAGCTCTCTAAATGAGGATAGATAGCGTCTAAACCGTAAGGATCCCATTTGGGGCCTTTCCGCTACTTGATCCTCATGAATGATATACATACCATCCATGTCTTAATACGCAAATAACAAACAACCAAAGTATGGAAAACCTCGAATATCTCTCGAACTATAGGACCACAACACACCTCAATAAAATCGATAGGAAATTACTTCTAACTTCTACTTGCCAACAGAAAATCTTCTTCCGATTTGTAACTGTTATGAAGTTTTCCTTGAAGTCACTTTAAGTCAAAAAGTTTTTGGTCCAAAATAACCCCACGAACAACCTTTTGAGGTTATTACAAGGACCTGCACATTAAAAGAACTGTTCTTTTTAGGTTGGAAGGGCTGCGGGTTCTATACAATGGCTGTTCCAATATATATGGTGCTTGACTTGGATTTGGTGAAAAACATAATGACAAAAGATTTCAACAATTTTATGGACAGAGGCATATATTTTAACGAAAAGGCAGATCCATTAAGTAAGCACCGAAAATTGAGCATATATACTTATACAGTAATAACTTTCGTAAATTTTACAGTCGATTCTTTCCAACGCTCATCCAAGGCGTTTTCTAGATAAATAATTATTTCGTTACTTGTATACAAGTTAAAATTTTTAGGTGTACATCTACTTGCCATAACTGGAATGAAATGGAAGAACTTGAGGGCCAAACTGACGCCGACTTTCACGTCGGGGAAGATGAGGATGATGTTCCAGACAATGGCAGACTGTGGCGTAATCCTGGAAAAGTATATCAAGGACGAAGTTGCGGGAAAGCAAGCTGTGGACATTAAGGATATTTTGGGTAAGGAAAATGAAAAGCTATGCTAATATTTCGTCATAATAATAAGTAAAGCTTACAAAGAAGTGCACGTCACTGATGCAAGTACCAATAGTACTACTTCTATAAGCTACGCTATCATACATGTAACAGATTTAAAATATCCAACTTGAATTGGAGATTAGAATTGTCTAAATTCCAAATCTTTTAGCGTCAATCGCTTCCAAAAATGAGATATGCCATCGATGAGGCACTAGAAACGATCTTATAAGCATTAATAAAATCATTAGTAACTTTTGTATCTGTCACAACCACCCTCACTAAAGCTGTCATCAATGGCTTCCAAATGTATGACAAGTGATTCTATTATAATTTTACCTCTTGTATTCAGAGCTGCTTATTGTGGCACGTAAGTTTTTATATTCACCTAGATTAGTTCAATGGGGTTCAGCTCACAGTGGCATGATGGCAAGAAAAATAACATCCACTTCAGATTTTATGTATCTGGAACTGTTGCATATATGTGAGGAGACTCACTTCAAGCGTTTTTTAGCACCTTATCTTGTAGTAACGACATTTCCTTCTAGGTTCTCTACGGACATCATCGGTTCATGCGCGTTTGGCCTGGATTGCAACAGCTTCGAACAACCCAATTCTTCTTTCAGGGTCTACGGGAAGAAGGTCTTGGAGACCTCCACATTGGAACTGATGAAAGAGGCCTTCTGCATCAGCTTCCCCAAAGCTGCTAGAGCCCTTTCTCTCCGTGTGTTCAGGAAGGAAGTGTGCGATTTCTACACATCGGTCGTGCAAGACACCATCTCGTACAGGGAGAAGAACAGCGTCAAGCGCAACGACTTCATGCAGCTGCTCCTCGAGATGAAGGCCAAAGATGACAATGCTACAGGTATGAAGCCTACAGGTGTGATAGGGTACTATCAAACGTTTTATATACAAGGAAGGGTAGCTTCTATGGATGAAATTAAACCAAAAAAAATTGTGCTTGTTAAGGACACCCAACAGATTATTTCGTTCGAAAATGTACTTATACGTAAATGAAATAATAATAATGATGTGTTTGAACTTACAGAAAACGGCAACACCCTGACTATGCCTGAGATAATAGCGCAAAGCTTCGTCTTCTTCATAGCTGGATTCGAGACCAGCTCCACTACCATGACCTTCGCCCTTTTTGAATTGGCGAGGAACACCGCCACCCAGGACAAAGTAAGAGAAGAAATCCGCACAGTCCTGGCGAAACACGACGATAAAGTCACTTACGACTCGATGAACGAGTTGGTTTATATGAAACAAGTCATCGATGGTAAGTAAAAAGCGAATGATTCAAAAGAGGTCGCTGAGTTTTAAGGGCAGCTGTTTAGAAAAGTGAAAATCCTCTCGAGTTTTTAGAAATTTCAACAATTTTTTTTGTCATTTTATTGAATTTCTTCCAACCCCGTTGTTGCAAGATAGTTCTGAATCACTTAAAAAAGTACTGGATCAAAATTTGTGAATATACGATACTTTTCAGTTAATAGGCCAGGAAATATAGAGTTGGACGCGACTTTTCGTTTCGGCAAGCTGAATTTTTCACTATAGATGCTAAATATTATGTACAATAACATATTAGTTTCCACAGTCATAAAAATTTTTACGTAAATTCACGTTTTTCTCGTATAACGTTTTTCCGTTCATTTCTACGAGAAAACAGTAAAGTACTTTTTTTTTGTCTTCGAAAGACCTGCAAAACTAGCCCTCGAGCGTCAAAAAATATTGATTAGATAAAAAGTTACAAACAGAAGAAATCTATTTATGAATTTTGAATTAAACATTTATAAACTGCGTTATTATTACCACAACGTTTTGGCATCGCATTCTCTCATCCTTATCACTGTCTAATAACTCACACGAAATCTGGAATCGATAAGTTGAATAGTTTACAAGTTATGGACAAATTAACTAATTATTAGTCTGGACGATCCCGAGCATCTTCCACAATCGCACTGATTTTTTTCATGGTAGATTTCATAATAATACATTGAAATCTATCATTTTTTTTTTAAATTTCAAAAGTGCAACCTGGAATTTTTTTTTATTATTTAGCCTTTGTTGCAAAATTAAATATACGACGCACGAGCGTGATATAGTAATATATTATTACATATTCAAAAGCTCATGAAAAGAGCTTTAATTTAAAAAAAATTGTCAAGATCCGTTGAAAAATAACGGAGTTACAGACTGTCAAAGTTGACGGCCTATTGTTATACGAATTAGGTTGGTAGCGGCAAAAAAATACTGTCATAACGGGCAAACCGAGTACTTTCCCAGATAAAAATATTTTATTTGTGGAAGTGCATAAGAAATATTGTCAAAAGTCAGTGGGTCGCTTGATTTTTCGGCGAGCCGTGGCGCGGCGGAAGGGTGGAGGAAGCGAACGACGGCAAGCATCGCGTTTGAAAAAACTCGTTCTCGGTCTTCAAAATCAATCGCGCAACTAGAATACAATTTTTCTTGGGAACTATTTACGATAAATCGATCATTCTTTTTTAAATTTGATACAACGTTACGAAAAGAATTTTGGAATTGCTCAAAATTACGAAAAATCATGAGAAATGTCATAGATTTCATTAAAAATTATAAGTGAAATTATTGTTGCATTTTTATTCAGGAAAAGATTGGGAAATTATTTATCTAATGGATAAATGATATTTTATAACGTACATAAATATTATAATTATGTTTTTAATGCAAAATGATGTATATTTTATTAACGAGATGGCAAGTATAAATATTATTACTGATGTAATGAACCTGTGTTATTTTTGATTTTTATTAGGTCTGAATTTAAAAATATTTATTTTTATTTCGGATTATTCTATCCCGGCGGCGAGAATTATTGATTTTTCTACATATATATCAAATATCCACTCGCGGGTCCGACCGGCCGATAC